GGTGGAGCCATGACCTCCAGGTAGTGGGCTGGTCGTGGTGGTGGTGATAAACGCCCCTGAGTGTGGTACACAGCAGCCGTCTCCCTCTTCTGTATATGCGTCGCGCCTCTCCTCTGGCTCCCACCTGTGAATTGAACATAAAGGCGACAATACCCGTGTTCCATGCTGTTGTGTGACCCTGTAGTTTGTATAGGGTTACACAGTTATATCATAACGCTCTCCTCCTGGCAACAACTACACTTCAATTTTTTTTTTTTAATAATCCAATTAACTCTGAATGATATTGACTTGGTGGAACATAAAACAGTAACAGAGTAAAGTTAGAGAAGAGAGAATAAGGGCATCACTACTTTTAACTTGTCACACACAAAAAAATCAATACTAATAGACAAACCACTAGCCTAAACTTAACTATACCTTTCCTAATCTTAAGTACATAATTAACCGTTACTCCCACCCTTAACCTACAGCCACCTACGTGACCCAGAGTGTTTTCCTAGCTTCTCCGCCGGTCAACAACTCCAAACTGTTGCCACCCCTGTGACCAGACTATCTAACGTCGAGCGTCCCCAACGTGAAGTCTACTGACATACTAAGGCTCCCCCTAGCATGCTGTACAAGACCAGTACACCTCGGGTTATTGCGTTCAAATGGAGTAAAACAGTCGATCGCAATAATCTGAGCAGAACCACTAAAAACTACTTAAAATCTATTTAAGAACTACACCTGCCACTCCCCACTGACCTGGAGACCAGCGGTGGCTGGGTGTCCCCGTGGGACATGCGAGGTCACCTGTCACACTCAGCTGACCTGCACTACCAACACCGCTAAGTTCCCAAATCACCAAATCTTACAACTAACATAAATCACTACACACGCAAGTTCTGGTGAACATTCCCTGAACACCACAAAACTCACAAAATCACTAAACAACAACACCAGAGAATCACAATCTCCTAGCCTGAAAACTCGCTAAATCGCGAAAGTAAAACACCTGTCAAGATCTCCCTGATAGCGCCTGAGCGGCAAAAAGACACGTGGGACTGAACAATGTTAAAAGAACACCAACTACCTACAACATTGTTCAACACCGCTGCCATCATTGTAACGGGGGGGTGGGGGAAATAGCTCTATCTTGTCCATTATTCCACCCCCCAGTTAACTAACGAGGCCGGGGGAAACAGCTCTCTCTAGTCCGTTATCCCGTCCCCAGTTAGCTAACTATTCTAGAGCACCTCCAGAGTTCCTAAGGCAACCTCTCTCGTTCAACACCTTGTAACCTAGGTATTTGACTACCTAGGTGCTAAGACTACAAGGCGCCGTAACTTGATCAGTTACCCGAAACTCTAGAGAGAACTCTAGAATACAGAATCATTGCCACAAACGTATAAGAGAAAACGAAAGGAAAGAAATGAATAGTGAAGTAATTAGTGAGGGCTTGGGGGTGAGAGGGAGAGAGGTGGGAGGAGCGAGGAGGGTCATTAGTTGAAAGTGAGAGTTTAGAGAGGGGGTGGAGGGAGAGGTGTAGATAGGTAGAAGTAGAAGAGTAGATAGTAGAAGTAGAAGAGTAGATAGTAGAAGACGAAATGCTGCCACCATCCATTCATGATCATTACATACAAGACAAGGAATGGAACTTGCCTGTATCACAAAATTCTCAAAGGATGTTATCATGAGTTCATTATTAGTATGTTCCCTCTGTACCATGTATCAACTCCAAACATGTACTCATTTATATCATGAACCCAGTAACCACTGAGGCTTTCTCAAATCCTCAACTCAAAGCTCTAGGGCACAAAGTTAAACACAATTTAAATAATAAATTCATAATTATATTTCACATGAAGTATCATAATATAAGCAATCCAATTAAAATGTTAAAGAGAGTCATCATCCAAGAATTCGAGAACCCTACAACTTGACTGCCCCTGATCATCACACAACATATGTAAACACGACCAAGTCACCTAAATGTTCACTCACCGAGGACTGAGTCTAAGTTGAATAGAGAGGGGGGGGGGGGGTCTGCAATTTTCAGGCAGCGTCACCCCCCGTCTGGTGACGGCCTATCTCGACGGCTGGCCTCTGCTCTGCTCCGCTGGCCGGTCTCCTATTGCTTCATGCTCGATAGCTCTCCGAGTTTATATTGGGGAACCTAGTAGCTAACTCCGCCCACAAGTAGATAGCCTCCGGCACTACCAAGCCACTCCTTAAACGTCGGCATGTTTGAAGGCTACCCGGCTCCAATTATACGCTTAGCGGAAGCAAGGTGAAATTATCATGATCTGACCTCAGGTCACTTGGGGTCATTAACGGTTAGAGGTGTGAGATCTCAGGCAGACAACTGGCGCCTCTCCGATCCTTGTCTGTGACTCATGTACTCTATGTATGTATTAACCTAAACCAAACACTTTTACAGTGTTACAATAAGATGTGAGAATTCAAATTTTCCAGTTTTCTTTCTATATCTGAATATTTCCTTCGCATAATTTTTGCAAGTTTTAACTTTGAAGGTTTATTGACAGTCGTTACTTTTATACTGGTATCTGAGCTTTAATGAGCTTGATTTGGATTTATGTGATTCTGTTGACCAGACCACACACTAGAAATTGAAGGGACGACGACGTTTCGGTCCGTCCTGGACCATTCTCAAGTCGATTGTGTGATCTGATTTTGCTGATAAAGATTTCCTTTATCTGATTTTGTTTTAATAATTCTGTTTCCTTATCAGCAGCGTTCAGTTTCCTTCAGTGCTCTCGGTGCTATTGCTGTGTGAAATAATTTTCACATTTTACACTTAAATTCTAAATAATAAATTAAATTACTATGAAGTAATTTAATTGATGTTAGAGTAATTTGTAATTTGCATTAACAATTAGTTCATTCAGTGATAAACAAACAAGTAGACTAAACGCCATTAGGCTGGTCCTTACAGTTAATTAATTTAAGAATTCATTCTGGTTAGTTTAATTGACCAAGTGAGTAAGTTTAAGTGTTAATTAACTGTTTCAACACTGGCTGAACTATTTATAAATTGCATAAACATCAGAACAATATAAACCCCCACTGTAGAGTTACGAAAAATAATGGAACAAACAAACCTATGAAAAAGTCTATTGAAGGATTTGAAGGAAAAGTCTATTTATCGTCGGATCTCTCAGCATTAACGGTCGTTGTATATCCTGACACTATTGTAATGGTTCTTAACTCTTCCATTGTGGATTTCAGGGCTACAGTCTCCTGCAGATTGAGATGTGGTAGAATTGATTTCATCCCTCGTAGCCTAAGGGGCCTCGTAGCCTGGTGGATAGCGCGCAGGACTCGTAATTCTGTGGCGCGGGTTCGATTCCCGCACGAGGCAGAAACAAATGGGCAAAGTTCCTTTCACTCTGAATGCCCCTGTTACCTAGCAGTAAAATAGGTACCTGGGAGTTAGTCAGCTGTCACGGGCTGCTTCCTGGGGGTGGAGGCCTGGTCGAGGACCGGGCCGCGGGGACACTAAAGCCCCGAAATCATCTCAAGATAACCTCAAGAATCCCTGTTTTGTGTACATAAATGGCAATTGTTCTCTTAAAGATGGTGAATGTCAGTCAGGGTATATGTCTCATCAAATCTTAGTAAGGTTTACCATGTCTATCACTTCATCAATTCTTGTAATATTATTCTAGTCTGAATACCTGGTTGATACCTGGTTGATGGGGTTCTGGGAGTTCTTCTACTCCCCAAGCCCGGCCGGAGGCCAGGCTCGACTTGTGAGAGTTTGGTCCACCAGGCTGTTGCTTGGAGCGGCCCGCAGGCCCACATACCCACCACAGCCCGGTTGGTCCGGCACTCCTTGGAGGAATAAATCTAGTTTCCTCTTGAAAATGTCCACGTTTGTTCCGGCAATATTTCTTATGCTTGCTGGGAGGACGTTGAACAACCGCGGACCTCTGATGTTTATACAGTGTTCTCTGATTGTGCCTATGGCACCTCTGCTCTTCACTGGTTCTATTCTACATTTTCTTCCATTTGAATGAAGTGTTTGAAGATATATCTGTGCCAGACATATGAATTATTTTATTAAACATACCACAAAGATTACAACAAACACATTTATGACGCTTTATTACATTTTCTGTAAAGCGAAATTTGTCCAGAAATGCATTGTTGATCCTCATCTTTCGCTCTATTTTTCTGGTAAGACTAATCATGCCCGAAACGCTTTGCCATGCCCGAAACGCTTTGCGTAATAGTGGCTTTAGGCATTGTATGTACTAGCTATACCTATAAGTCAACCAATCCTTGTAAAAAATTATTGTATGTATGTACCTTACCTAAATAAAATTGTATTGTATTGTATTGTATTGTATTCCTGCAAAATTTAGTATTTTGTGGTTGTAAATTGTATTCAATTGTATTTGTGCAAATACGCAAATACAGTTGACACAACTTTAACCAGTTTATCCTCCATGAAATCTGTACCTTGAATTTGTCATAAAAGTGTATTATCATTTATATCTTATCTAACACATCATTTCCCATAAAAGCTGCAGGATTGTTAGTCTCCATGAAGGACTCGTATCTATGTTCAACAAAAAGATATTTCTCATTAATGGCATCACTCTTAACCCAGGTACTGTCTCGCCCTATTATTAACCCATGTTCTTGGCTGCTTTTAATTACCTCGTTACTTTCGTCAACTTCCTATCTCCCATTCTCTCTGCTTGCCAAACTAATGAACAAATGGGTACCTGGGAGTTAGTCAGCTGTCACGGGCTGCTTCCTGGGGGTGGAGGCCTGGTCGAGGACCGGCCCGCGGGGACACTAAAAAGCCCCGAACTCATCTCAAGATAACCTCAAGATAACCTCAAGAAATTGCCAAACTATTTTCTATTACACATAATTTGTCAAACATGTTCTTCGCAATCTTATCTTGCGTGATCTTCTTACCTATACATAGTCCAAGTCAGTGCTGCATATTCACATGTTCATCCAAGATTTTCTCTTTTTCCATGTAGGCTTTAGTACACAGAATAAAGTTTGAACTGAATCTGATGGAAGCTGGGAGCGAGGCAGAAGATGAGGAGCTGAGTGTTGGGTTGGGGTTTCTGCTGGAGGAGCTGCAGGGGTCGGAGCCGTGGAGAGCAGCCTGGAGGAGTAAAAAACGGGATTCGGTTCCCCTTACCAAGCTCCTCGTGAAAGCCTGCCAAAGAGGCGCCACCCTTACTGCAGCATTTATACAGGTTCTTGCTTTTCTAGTGTTTTTACCTATTTTTATTTCATGTATAGTATATAGCATAAACAAATATTTTACCAATTATATATTTTGAGAATGTCTTAAACTCTAACAATTAAGAGGTATTTCTTTCAGCTTCTACGATATGTGTAAATGTATCAATGTTACGTTAAGTAACATGTCCAAGGGGTTTGGAATAGGCGGGAGGAGGAAGAAGGACGAGAAGTTGGAATTCTTGAAGAGGTTGAGGATGGAAGATGAGGAGACTAAACAGTTCGGTGGTCTATCCACCGCGGGTTGGCGTCGAGTGTTTTCCTTTGGTCTTGATCGTGGTTTTGTTATTCTGATTATCTTGGGCGGCGTGGTAGGCTTGATGGGGCTTGAAGGGTCTGTGCCAGGGCGGGAGGTGAGGTAGAGAGTAAAGTGGTGTGTTGGCGTTGGGTGAAGACGCCTCAGTCTTGGTTCTTCATCCCACTTTTCTTCTCCTGCAGGTGGTTGGGCCCCTTGTGTACTAGGTCCTCGCGTACTCCTGGGTTTTCAGACTTTCTTCGTCGGGGTCTTGTTCTTGTTGACATGACTGTTGTCGTCTGAACTTGGTGAGGAGGCCTCCACGAGGAAGTCTTGCAAGTTGTAGGTGTTGAATTGTCGGCGAGCGCTTCGGCTGAGTTGGTGATTGTAGGATCGTTAGGAGCCGGTGTGAAGTGTTTCCGTTTGTGTAGCCTGGGTCTTAGGTGGTGCTGGAGTCTGGGTTGAGGTAGTCTTTCTGGAGGTCCCTGTAGTAGTCGGAGAGGCAGAGAGCCTGTCTTCAAGGGCAATGATGGGGTCCAGGCCGTTGGCAATATTCAGAGCATTGAGTTACGAACTGGTGGTTGTCTGGTCCGGCGAGCCTCTCAGCTAGACGAATGAGACCGGGAATGATCCATTCGTGTGAAGTGAGGGATTGTGAGGGTGCTGACTGAGCATTGGTTCTCCACTAGGAAGGCTGGTGGGCAGGGCCACTGTTTGGTAAAACGGGGTAGGCCTCAACGTACTGGAGTGAACGACATGGAAGAAAATGTAGAATAGAACCAATGAAGAGCAGAGGTGCCATAGGCACAATCAGAGAACACTGTATAAACATCAGAGGTCCGCGGTTGTTCAACGTCCTCCCAGCAAGCATAAGAAATATTGCCGGAACAACCGTGGACATTTTCAAGAGGAAACTAGATTTATTCCTCCAAGGAGTGCCGGACCAACCGGGCTGTGGTGGGTATGTGGGCCTGCGGGCCGCTCCAAGCAACAGCCTGGTGGACCAAACTCTCACAAGTCGAGCCTGGCCTCGGGCCGGGCTTGGGGAGTAGAAGAACTCCCAGAACCCCATCAACCAGGTATCAACCAGGTTATGTTTGGCTGGTTGGTTTAGCTGAGGCGCTGAAGCTAATGTTGGTAGAGCTGACAGCGGCGGTAGAGATTTTGGCTTTCTTTGACTCAACCAGGTCTTCGATGATTTCTTGTCTACGAGGGAAGCAGTGGGGGCGATCACAGAGTGATCGCTCTGTGATCGTGGGGGGAAAGCGATCACAGAGTGATCGCTTTTGCCATTTATGCAGCATTTGGTCTCCGCTTTGCACATTGAGTAGTGATGATTCTGGGCGCAGATACTGCACTTCACGGTGGGTTGCTGACAATTCTGGTTGGGTGGGTGAATTCATAGCACTTAGAGCTCTGTTGTATATCACAGACGCGTTCCTTCTTCATTCGGTAGGGTGGGATCTTGATGCCAAATCAGTTGAATCTTTGTGTGGTAGCTTGGGTAGCCACGGCTAATGAGGTGAAGGTTAATTACATGGTAGAACACACCTGAGAATATCAACATGCTGCTCAGTTGGAATTCACTCAGCAGATCACTCCATCCGGCCGAGCGGATAGCACACTGGACTTGTGATCCTGTGGTCCTGGGTTCGATCCCAGGCGCCGGCGAGAAACAATGGGCAAAGTTTCTTTCACCCTATGCCCCTGTTACCTAGCAGTAAAATAGGTACCTGGGTGTTAGCCAGCTGTCACGGGCTGTTTCCTGGGGGTGGAGGCCTGGTCGAAGACCGGGCCGCGGGGACACTAAAGCCCCGAAATCTTCTCAAGATAACCTCAAGATAAGATCCCCAAGAAGAAAACATACAACATAAAGGCCATTGGTATTAGGTACCAATGTGGTACCAATGTTCCAATGTGATCCTGTGGTAGGATCAAAGAACTACATAGCAGGCTAAATTGTGCACGAAAGAATATCAGAAGAGACAGAACCCAAGCTAATCTGAAACTTCTTAGCACTATCCGAGCAACTCGTCCTCTTAAAAATAACGTCACTTTTGGCTCGTATGCGCGCTATGGCCAAATTTGGACGTAATTTGAAATGACATCGACTCACAAAAGTGACGTACTGCTCCGTTTTCTGTTTGAGTCGTCCGGCCTACGCGGACAGGTTAGGAGAGGAAACTTTCAAAAACACGAGATCATGTGCATGAAGAAACAGCAAAAATCAAAGAAGAAAAATGACTCGAGTTGTAGGCAAAGTTAAATCCGCTTTTGCTGGGGCAGCAGTTTACATTAACACCCATGAAGCTTACTGGAGCATGAACAGTGTGTGCTTAGCATTGCCAACAGACTTATATGCCTTCAAAAAGGCCATAAATTATGCAACTGAGAATAATTTACTCTTAATAATTTTAAAAAATTGAACATTTTTCATCATCATTCTTACCGACTGTAAATCTTCGCTCCAGGCATTGTTATCCAGCCCGCACAGAGATAATATGCAATTCATCACAGAAATCCTACATATAGGAAAAGAAGCCCATAATCTAGGGCTGTCAATCACCCTAAATTGGATATCAAGTCACATTGGCATAGATGGTAATGAAAAGACAGACTCACTAGCAAAAACTGCCACTGCTCTACCTGTGGTACAGGTTCAAATACCTCCAAGTTTCTCACAGATAAAGGAGCAAATCAAGAAGAAAATATTCTCAACTATCAAAAGTCGCCACAGAGCCAAAGTAGTGGAAGAAAGATCCACTGCGATATGGTACGAACAAGCCACTGGTTACTCCTCTTTCATGCCTGGCAAAAAATATCCAGAGACATTGCAGTAGCCATACACAGACTCAGACCTGGTTACAAGTGCTGCTGGGAGGTAATAAATCCAATAGTTAGAGCAACCCGTTCTCGCAAATTCGTAAAGTCAATATTGACTTATTAACTACGTGCATAGGTGATATACTAAACATAATAGATACCCTTAAAAAGATTCATAGAAAACACCGACCTTACCTAACCTTGTTAGTATCTTAAGATAAGCATCTTATTGCTTCGTAATTACAATTATTACTTAACCTATACCTATTATAGGTTAGGTAATAATTGTAATTACGAAGCAATAAGATGCTTATCTTAACATACTAAGTAGGTTAGGTAAGGTCGGTGTTTTCTATGAATCTTTTTAAGGGTATCTATTATGTTAAGTATGTCACCTATGCACATATTTAATAAGTCAATATTGACTTATTAAATTTGCGAGAACGGGTAGGTTAGAGAGTGCCATATCTGTGGAATAGATGCAGAGACGCCACAATTGCATTACTTAATGGAATGGGAAGAAGCTGAAGTCCTGCACATTAAACGAGAGCAGCTGCATTAGATGCAAAATCCACAGCGACTACAATGGTTAGAAACGCAGTTGAAAAATGGGACGAACTAGTGAACACTGTGCTTCTATGCAGGCGATGAGTCACAATAACGTGGCTGAAGTATGTTGACCAGACCACACACTAGAAATTGAAGGGACGACGACGTTTCGGTCCGTCCTGGACCATTCTCAATCGACTTGAGAATGGTCCAGGACGGACCGAAACGTCGTCGTCCCTTCAATTTCTAGTGTGTGGTCTGGTCAACACTGTGCTTCTATATCCGCCACTTAGATAATGTTATTAAAAAAAGACTAAAACCATTGCGCTAAAACAGTAGCAGAAAATAAACGGGAGAAATGGGGGAAACCCCACCTCCATTTAAAACTTTGACCCAAATATAACAGTAACAAGGTTATCGCAAATAACCGAACTCGGTTACGAACTCAATGGGCATTTCCTTCTGAGTGGCTAAACCTAAAACAACAACCAACATGTTCTGGTTTTCTTCCTCGACGTTGATGAGTATATACCTGGTTGATGGGGTTCTGGGAGTTCTTCTACTCCCCAAGCCCGGCCCGAGGCCAGGCTCGACTTGTGAGAGTTTGGTCCACCAGGCTGTTGCTTGGAGCGGCCCGCAGGCCCACATACCCACCACAGCCCGGTTGGTCCGGCACTCCTTGGAGGAAACAATCTAGTTTCCTTTTGAAAATGTCCACGGTTGTTCCGGCAATATTTCTTATGCTTGCTGGGAGGACGTTGAACAACCGCGGACCTCTGATGTTTATACAGTGTTCTCTGATTGTGCCTATGGCACCTCTGCTCTTCACTGGACCTCTGATGTTTATACAGTGTTCTCTGATTGTGCCTATGGCACCTCTGCTCTTCATTGGTTCTATTCTACATTTTCTTCCAATGTAGCAGTTCTTTGTCCGTAATCCAAATGCTGGTCTCGCTGAGACGGTTCGTGCAGCGAGGTACCGTTGTGGGGAGTTAAGACTGAGGTGAGCTTGGTGCAGCTCTTCATCGATGCCCTGCAGCTTATTGAGGTCCTTCTCGCTCGAGAAGTAGAGCGCGAAGCTTCCACTTCTTGTCGGATGTCGATGAGTGACACATTAGAGGGTTTTGATGACCTTAAGGAGATCTTGTTGTTGTATGCATGGTTGTGGAGGCCGTCGGCCCTGACTTTGTACTCACCTAGTTGTGTTTGCGGGGGTTGAGCTCTGGCTCTTTGGTCCCGCCTCTCAACCGTCAATCAACAGGTGTACAGATTCCTGAGCCTATCGGGCTCTGTCATATCTACACTTGAAACTGTGTATGGAGTCAGCCTCCACCACATCACTGCCTAATGCATTCCATTTGTCAACCACTCTGACACTAAAAAAGTTCTTTCTAATATCTCTGTGGCTCATTTGGGCACTCAGTTTCCACCTGTGTCCCCTTGTGCGTGTTCCCCTTGTGTTAAATAGACTGTCTTTATCTACCCTATCAATCCCCTTCACAATCTTGAATGTGGTGATCATGTCCCCCCTAACTCTTCTGTCTTCCAGATAGTGGTGCTTTCATTGGACTCGGTTGGTACCCCCTCAACGTGGCGCAGTTGTGGTGGAAGAGTCTTTTGCCCGTAATCCAATCTTCTGATTGATTGATATGTTATCTATGTCTTATGCCTCGTTAAGTATCAGCTCTTACGGACATAACTTGCAAAGCAGAACTTCAACTCGTGGGGCCTCAACTTCAACTCGTGGGACCTCAACTTCAACTCGTGGGGCCTCAACTTCAACTCGTGGGGCCTCAACTTCAACTCGTGGGGCCTCAACTTCAACTCGTGGGGCCTCAACTTCAACTCGTGGGGCCTCAACTTCAACTCGTGGGGCCTCAACTTCAACTCGTGGGGCCTCAACTTCAACTCGTGGGGCCTCAACTTCAACTCGTGGGGCCTCAGCGTACCCAACTCCTTCTTGTGTTTCAGATGCAACAGCTGTCTCTCCTTTCCCCCAGTGTTATATTTTTTCATTACTGATTCAAATTTTGTACTTGGCTTAGGAACCGACAGTAAATATTTAAGTACAATGGATATAAGTGACAAGTAGTCGTGCCTGCAAAACTCATTTTCCATAAGTGAGTAAATCCATAGGAGCCATGATGAGGGTTGTAGAACACCAGGTTGCAATCTTTTTACCATGTTGTACCATAAATCGCCGAATGGCAATACTAAATCTGTAATTCAATAAGTTTATTTAATTATTTTTAATATTACTCCTACAAAGAATTTAGGTATATTATAACTTCCAGTAATTTGGTAATTAACATGGGTGTACTGAATTTTAAATGAATTACAACTATTGAACATTAAATAAATTAATATGAAAATACTGTTGATTAAGGAGCTATATTAGTTTGCAACATGCTACATGTAGTTCCTTCAAAATATATAGACATACGTGAAGTATGTTGTCGTATCTAAGACAGATCTATCTTCTTGAGGTTATCTTGAGATGATTTCGGGGCTTTAGTGTCCCCGCGGCCCGGTCCTCGACCAGGCCTCCACCCCCAGGAAGCAGCCCGTGACAGCTGACTAACTCCCAGGTACCTATTTACTGGTAGGTAACAGGGGCATTCAGGGTGAAAGAAACTTTGACCATTTGTTTCTTCCTCGTGCGGGAATCGAACCCGCGCCACAGAATTACGAGTCCTGCGCGCTATCCACCAGGCTACGAGGCCCCAGATTAAGTTATGATGGATCTACTTATGCATTGTAATATGATTGTAACACATTCTTGGCTATATAAATATAATAAATATGCACGGGGGGGGCAGCTGCCCCTGTTCCCGCTCCTATTCCGGGCTAGAATCCTTGGGCCAGATTCACGAAAGCACTTACGAACCTGTACATCTTTTCTCAATCTTTGGCGGCTTTGTTTACAATTATTAAACAGTTAATGAGCTCTGAAGCACCAGGAGGCTGTTTATAACAATAACAACAGTTGAATGGGAAGGTTTCATGCTTGTAAACTGTTTAATAAATGTAACCAAAGCCGTCAAAGATTGAGGAAAGATGTACACGTTCGTAAGTACTTGCCTAAGTGCTTTCGTGAATCTGGCCCCTTGCCTCCCTCGCAGCTCGCTCAGCCATCTTAACATGTAGGAGACGCTTGATAGCTTCATCTCAAATAACAAGAAATCGCAATTTCTTCTGAATGCAACATCATGCTTCCTCTTAAGTGTATAAAATCAACTCACAATTTCTTCTAGTTATGCACAAAAAGGAAGTTATGTCTCTTATATGTGGGAATTAGGAAATACAGGGCTACACTCCGTAACAATATGTATAGGATAATGTAAAAACGTGGATAATAATTTTAATCCTTCAAGGAGCTACACTCCGTAACAATATGTATAGGATAATGTAAAAACGTGGATAATAATTTTAATCCTTCAAGGAGCTACACTCCGTAACAATATGTATAGGATAATGTAAAAACGTGGATAATAATTTTAATCCTTCAAGGAGCTACACTCCGTAACAATATGTATAGGATAATGTAAAAACGTGGATAATAATTTTAATCCTTCAAGGAGCTACACTCCGTAACAATATGTATAGGATAATGTAAAAACGTGGATAATAATTTTAATCCTTCATTGATACGTCTGTCCGGCAGCAAGGAGGAGGCTCAGTGACGTCAAGGACTTCAGATGGTCGTACCGCACTTCACACTTCCCTGGACGCTGATCACATGCATACAACTCTTAGTTTGGTTCGCCATATGGGAGCAAATATCTTTCTGTGTGACGACAAGGGAAGGCTTCCCCTCCAGCTATGTCCTCAAGAAACAGGGAATCAACTTTTGGAGGTGAGATCATTAGGAAAGCAGTCTCCGTGGTGTAGTGGTAAGACACTCGCTTGGGGTTCCGCGAGCGCTATGTCATGGGTTCGTATCCTGGCCGGGGAGGATTTACTGGGCGCAATTCCTTAACTGTAGCCTCTGTTTAACGGAACAGTAAAATGTGTACTTGGATGAAAAAACGATTCTTCGCGGCAGGGGATCGTATTCCAGGGACCATAGGATTAAGGACTTGCCCGAAACGCTACGCGTACTAGTGGCTGTACAAGAATGTAACAACTCTTGTATATATCTCAAAAAAAAAGAAAAAAAAAAAAAAGAAAGCGTCTCCATCATTAGTGTTGCAAGCCAGATTAAATTAGCATCATTAACCACTCTACGGGCTCACCATAGCCCGTGCTACTTGGAACTCTGTTCCAGGTAGCCAATCTTTAACAACAACAACATTAACTACATTCTGAGAATTTAAATGGCTCTACAAAAGCTGAGAAGCTACATATAATAAATATAACTTAGTAATGTATATAAAACTTAATTAAAATTTTCAAATGAATGTTTAGCAAATCCATCAATTCCGATTAAATGTTCACTTCCACCCGTCCTTGTTTCCACCCGTCCTCATGTCCCAGCTCCTTGTTTCCACCCGCCCTCATGTCCCAGCTCCTTGTTTCCACCCGCCCTCATGTCCCAGCTCCTTGTTTCCATGTCCCACCCGCCCTCATGTCCCAGCTCCTTGTTTCCACCCGTCCTCATGTCCCAGCTCCTTGTTTCCACCCGTCCTCATGTCCCAGCTCCTTGTTTCCACCCGCCCTCATGTCCCAGCTCCTTGTTTCCACCCGTCCTCATGTCCCAGCTCCTTGTTTCCACCCGCCCTCATATCCCAGCTCCTTGTTTCCACCCGTCCTCAGGTCCCAGCTCCTTGTTTCCACCCGCCCTCATGTCCCAGCTCCTTGTTTCCACCCGTCCTCAGGTCCCAGCTCCTTGTTTCCACCCGTCCTCAGGTCCCAGCTCCTTGTTTCCACCCGCCCTCATGTCCCAGCTCCTTGTTTCCACCCGCCCTCATGTCCCAGCTCCTTGTTTCCACCCGTCCTCATGTCCCAGCTCCTTGTTTCCACCCGTCCTCATGTCCCAGCTCCTTGTTTCCACCCGTCCTCATGTCCCAGCTCCTTGTTTCCACCCGTCCTCATGTCCCAGCTCCTTGGGACATGTACCTCTCGCTTGTTACGTATGTTGTGTTATTGAAGGATGGATTGTAACTGTTATTATCTTTAGCTATAGTTGTTTCTGTAGCTTTATTGATCTTATTATCAACACAAACTTTTATTTTTCAGGATGCTATGAGTCAAGACTACCGCGCCCTTGACTTCGTGATGGAAAAAACTCGGAATGGTCTGGAAAAGCAGAATATTGCCTGTGTGATAGTCCTTATGGCTGTCTTGTACTGTGAGTACAGCTTGTCATCATGTGAAGAAAACTTATTCTCACATCGTCCCATTTTGTCCAACGAGGCTGACTTGCTGGCTGGGAAAACCAGTTTGTCATGTGCAGCCATCTCATCTCCCAACCAAACCTCTACATCAGATGGGTGGAAGAAATTGTTTCTCCATATGATAACTATATTGAGAAAAATTGAGAAAACAAAGTTTACTAACGATGATTGGCTGAAACAACTGCTGTTTTACCAATCACAAATTAATGGTGAAAGTGATGAAGGAAATGGAACAGTGATGGTGACTGCAACAGAGACTCAAGAGGAGCTTGATATAGAGGAAGAACTCTTCTTCTTGTTCATAGACAGGCTGAAAGAAAGAGGCAAACCAATACTCACAAATTCTAAGCAGAATTCTGAGCTTGAAGAACATGTGAACTCAACATATCACAAAGCCTTTCGACTGTGTTGTGAGTCAGGTCTGCCGCTCTTGACCCACCTATTGCTGGAAGTGGCGGGTGTGCCTGTGGATGAGGTCGTTGATCCAGTCAGCGGGTCTACCGCGTTACATATTGTTGCATCTCTTGGATGCCTCGGGTTGCTGGAGTATCTACTGAGCAGACATGCGTCCCACACTGCCAGGGACGGAGCGGGCCGCACCCCTGCACACCTCGCTTACTTGTTTGGTCACGCTGCGGTGGGCGATCGCCTGCGAGAAGGTCTTGAAGACACGCGAAGTAAAGCTGGAAATCGACCTGAAGATTTATTAGCAGCCTTTAACAGTTACATGGAGACATACATTCTTGAAAAAAGTATCAGAATTACTGCACAAGAACAGAATGACCCTCTCTCTCTCATAAAGGCACACTTAAAGCAGTTCAAGTGGAAGTGGAGAGCAAATTTTGAAAGAGCTGCAAGAAAACTTCATGTAGACTTTACCAGTGGTGAAGCTCGAGAGGTGCAGCTAACACTGACATCAGAATTAAGGAAAATCGTTAGTAATCTAGCAAGCTTAAACCCTCTTTTAGAAGGTGATCTCCAGGTCCTGGGTAGTAGTGCAGACAACCTTCGCCTGTATGCACCTGATGAGTTTGACTGTAATGTGGTTCTTAAAAATATTAATGGCTTTCCAGGTGGAGGCGTAAACATTGAGCTGACACCTCTTCCACAGGAGGTGGCGGTAATGAAAGGTTACACCACGTGTCTCAGCGTCTCGGCTGTGAATGAGTCTCTCAAAGCTTTTGTTGATGGTATGAACTTTGTGAATATATTTTCCGATGCTGTATATAAGTGTGTGAAAAACTTTAAGCTGTCAGATAATCGTCTGAGCTTTGTGACTCCGGGAATAAGAAAGACTCAAGTTGGTGTCAATATTTCATTTGCATGGGAAGGTACCGAGTTTCCTTTATTGTTGATTGATGTTGATGTTGTCCCAGTTTTAAAAGTTCCCTGGCCTGATAAACTGGAAAGACCTCCACTGACGCCTGTCGACATCGACACAGTCCACATCAGCAACACAGGTGATGGCGACTGGCGCTATTCTTTTGCTGTTGTTGAAAACAGAATCTTTCGTTCCATGTCTGAGGATCGTCGTTTGGTGTTCCTTGCCTGTAAGCTACTTATCGTTACCCTGAAGGTGGAGAGCTGGGCACCCCGGGACGTGAAGGATCTGTACACATACTGGAATGGACGCAGGTTCAAAATTCCTGCTCCCGCTGGTTTCATCCTTAAGAACGCATTCCTACTGGAGATGGAAGACATCAATGATGATGCTGAGTGGGAACCTCAGCATATTCGCAAAAGGATGTTTTCCATTTTTCGCAGAATGTGTGTACAAGACGATGACGTTACTTCTGGAAAGACGCAGTACTTCCATGGCAAGGTCCGTGCATACTTTGGAGGGAATGCAGAAAAAGCCACTATAGGTCTGAGTGCCCCAGAAATACTGCTGTTTCTGGAATCGTTGGAAGCGTCGTTGTCAGAAGGCAAAGAATAGCGAAATTACTTCTATTAAAACCTTTGGGATGAAAAGGAAAGACTGAGCATCTATTTTTAAAGCTTTGTTCTTCATCAGGTCATGTTGATGGTAGGACATGCCATCAGGTCATGTAGTTGGTAGGACTTGCCATCAGGTCATGTAGATGGTAGGACTTGCCATCCGGTCATGTAGATGGTAGAACATGCCATCAGGTTATGTAGATGGTAGGACATGCCATCAGGTCATGTAGATGGTAGGACATGCCATCAGGTCATGTAGATGGTAGGACATGCCATCAGGTCATGTAGATGGTAGGACATGCCATCAGGTCATGTAGATGGTAGGACATGCCATCAGGTCATGTAGATGGTAGGACATGCCATCAGGTCATGTAGATGGTAGGACATGCCATCAGGTCATATAGATGGTAGGACATGCCATCAGGTCATATAGATGGTAGGACATGCCATCAGGTCATGTTGATGGTAGGACTTGCCTAAATTTTTAGATGTATATTGACAGTTGGTTTAAAGAGCTTGATATATAATGCTTTGTTCAATTTCCTGATATCGTCATACTTGTGTATTGTTTCTGTATTTTTAGTCAGGATATCAGCAGAGCGGTCTGGTAATATGTAGAGGTTTAGGTTGGAGGGAATTGAGACCTTCATGGAGCCTTGCTTGAAAAAAGAAATTAATAAACGATTCACATCAGGGTTTTACAAATGGCTATTCATGGTTAACGAATTTGCTATTATTTTACTCCAGCATAGTTGAGGCAGTTAATAGTGGTAAGGTTTATGATGTTGTGTACCTTGATTTTAGCAAAGCTTTTGATACAGTACCACATGAAAGACTGATTAAAGAGATAGAGGCTTTACTTGGGGGGGGGGGGAGTGCTATATTAAGTTGGATTAGGGCATGGCTGTTCCAAAGGAAACATTTTTTTTTTTTTTTTTTTGAGATATATACAAGAGTTGTTACATTCTTGTACAGCCACTAGTACGCGTAGCGTTTCGGGCAGGTCCTTAATCCTATGGTCCCTGGAATACGATCCCCTGCCGCGAAGAATCGTTTTTTCATCCAAGTACACATTTTACTGTTGCGTTAAACAGAGGCTACAGTTAAGGATTTGCGCCCAGTAAATCCTCCCCGGCCAGGATACGAACCCATGACATAGCGCTCGCGGAACGCCAGGCGAGTGTCTTACCACTACACCACGGAGACTACATAGAGTTAGTATAATTGGGGTTAAGTCAGAGTGGAAAAATCTTGTAAGTAAAGTGCCTCCAAGCTCTGTCCTGGAACCCCTGGTATTCATAATATAAATAATTTAGATTCAGGTTTGAGCAGCAACATTTGCAAATTTGCTGATGATACAAAAATCGGGAGGTTATCTTGAGGTTGATTTCGGGGCTTTTTAGTGTCCCCGCGGCCCAGTCCTCGACCAGGCCTCCACCCCCAGGAAGCAGCCCGTGACAGCTGACTAACTCCCAGGTACCTAATTACTGCTAGGTAACAGGAAATAGGGAAACAGGTAGGGAGATAAACACGAAAAAAGACTCACTATCACTTCAATATGGTCTAAATAGAAATTTGAAATGGACAAAAGATGGCAAATGGAGTTTAATGCTGACAAATGTAAGGTTTTGGGGTAAGATGTTGATGATAGAGTTACAAGATACGAGTTAGATAGTGTTAAGATTGCAAAGTCGGAATGTGGAAGGGATCTGGAAGTTATGACTAGTAAGAATTTGAAACGAAAAAATCAATGTATAAATGTTCGTAATAAGGCAATTAGGACACTGGGATTTATTAATCGTAGAGTTAGCAATAAGACACCTGGTGTTGTTCTGCTATGTCTTGCTCTGGTTAGGACCCATTTAGAATATGCAGTTCAGTTTTAGTCGCTGTATGAATGCGTCCAGTGTAGGATTATAAAGTTAATCCCCCAAATTAGAAATCTGTCATATGAAGAAATATTAACAAAGCTTAAATTACATTTACTAGAAAGGTGAAGAATTATGGGTCACATGATAAAGGTGTACAAGTGAATGAATGTGCATAACAAAGGGGATGTTAATAGAGTATTAAAAGTATCAACACAGGACAGAACACGGAACAATACTTATAAATAGGATAAGTTTAGATTTAGGAAAGACTTGGGTAAATACTGGTTTAGTAATAGGGTTATTGATTTGTGGAACCAATAACTGTGTAACATGATGGAGGTGGGGTCCCTTGGTTGTTTCAAGCGTGGGTTGGACATGTATATGAGTAGGATTGTGTGGTTATAATTAGGAGCTGCTTCGTATGGGTCAATAAGCCTTCTGCAGTTACCTTTATTCATATGTTTGTTGCCAGGTGCATTTAGAGAAATGTTTCCGTCATGCCTTTATACTATTATCGATGCGAATGCCAGTCCTCGAAGAAGCCCCAATGAAGTCAAAGAATGCCAATGAAGGCAAAGAGTGTTCCAAGTCTTTGCATGCCCACTTGGGGAGTGTCAGCCTTAATGCTCTCAATATAGAGGTTATCTTGAGGTTATCTTGAGATGATTTCGGGGCTTTAGTGTCCCCGCGGCCCGGTCCTCGACCAGGCCTCCACCCCCAGGAAGCAGCCTGCGACAGCTGACTAACTCCCAGGTACCTATTTACTGCTAGGTAACAGGGGCATTCAGGGTGAAAGAAACTTTGCCCATTTGTTTCTGCCTCGTGCGGGAATCGAACCCGCGCCACAGAATTACGAGTCCTGCGCGCTATCCACCAGGCTACGAGGCCCCAAGGTAGAGAGAGGCAAGTCAATCAACAAGTTCACACTAACCCTAGAAAATATTTTTTGTTTATGTATACATGTTACTGAAGCAAATGTACCTTTAAAAATATGAATAAACACTAAACTCTTGTTTAGAGTTAACATTACTTCAAGCCCAGCATTATCCCGTGCAGGTCTGGACCCCTTCACACCACCACAAGCCCAGCATCATCCCGTGCAGGTCTGGACCCCTTCACACCACCACAAGCCCAGCATCATCCCGTGCAGGTCTGGACCCCTTCACACCACCACAAGCCCAGCATCATCCCGTGCAGGTCTGGACCCCTTCACACCACCACAAGCCCAGCATCATCCCGTGCAGGTCTGGACCCCTTCACACCACCACAAGCCCAGCATCATCCCGTGCAGGTCTGGACCCCTTCACACCACCACAAGCCCAGCATCATCCCGTGCAGGTCTGGACCCCTTCACACCACCACAAGCCCAGCATCATCCCGTGCAGGTCTGGACCCCTTCACACCACCACAAGCCCAGCATCATCCCGTGCAGGTCTGGACCCCTTCACACCACCACAAGCCCAGCATCATCCCGTGCAGGTCTGGACCCCTTCACACCACCACAAGCCCAGCATCATCCCGTGCAGGTCTGGACCCCTTCACACCACCACAAACTCAGCATCACCCAAACATCAGCATGTCAGTTATATAAGAAAGGATGTTTGACTGGCTGTCTGGGCAAGGTTGGAGGGCAGATGCTTGGGGATAACCTCACACAACATCTCAGGTAGATGAATTTGGAGTATGGGACGAACATATGCTGACTGTGGTCGGTTTCTGAGTTTACCATCATCGAAATCGCTAAAACTAGTGTCCGAATGACGACAGGAAGCCGGCGGCGTGTCGAACTGCCTTCCCGCCAAACGCACACCGAAACTACGACGTTGGTACAACGTTCGAACAAGTTTTAACACCTCCTAACCAGTTATAACAACCAATATAGCAAGTTGTAACAACGTTCTAATACGTCATAAACACGTTAAGCCAAGATGTAACAACTTTATTACAAGTTGTAACAAGCGGAAAATAGAGACAGTTTCGGTTTGTGTTTCTAGGGTTGATGATCTCCCCATTGAAACATGATGATATTTTCCATTTGTACTTTAAATGTTAACAGAGTTTTAGTATTTATGAATTCGGCAGGTAGGCGGTTCCAGGGTAAAAAAAAGCAGTCTTTCTCTCAAATACCATAGGAAATATAAGCAACTAGGGAGACGTATGCGATTCTCATAGTCAAGTGAGATACTCGGTGTGGTGTTACTTGTTTTAGTGTTTCTCAATAATAAACTTAATTAGAAGGGGAAGAGGAAAGATTTGGAGGACGGGGGGGGGGGGAGCTTTTCCCACACCCCAGGAAGCTGCTTCCTCTCTTCCTGACTCCTTCTCGCCACACAATTTCCTTATTAACGCTACTGAAATTCATTTATGTTTTACCTTCCTATTTTCGTCTTTTTAACGTATACACTAATGAACAAATATAGATAATTATAATTCAATAATAAGGATGGAAAATGCTGGAAACTCTTACCTGAAGGCGGTTTCAGCTTGGCTCACTCATTATCAAGACAGTAACTACTCCAGAACATGCTGTGTTTTCGTAAAAACTGGCAACGGGTATGCTGGCTTTTCGTAAAAACTGGCAACGGGTATGCTGGCTTTTCGTAAAAACTGGCAACGGGTATGCTGGCTTTTCGTAAAAACTGGCAACGGGTATGCTGTGTTTTCGTAAAAACTGGCAACGGGTATGCTGGCTTTTCGTAAAAACTGGCAACGGGTATGCTGGCTTTTCGTAAAAACTGGCAACGGGTATGCTGGCTTTTCGTAAAAACTGGCAACGGGTATGCTGGCTTTTCGTAAAAACTGGCAACGGGTATGCTGGCTTTTCGTAAAAACCGGCAACGGGTATGCTGGCTTTTCGTAAAAACTGGCAACGGGTATGCTGGCTTTTCGTAAAAACTGGCAACGGGTATGCTGGCTTTTCGTAAAAACTGGCAACGGGTATGCTGGCTTTTCGTAAAAACTGGCAACGGGTATGCTGGCTTTTCGTAAAAACTGGCCACTTTTCGTAAATAAAGTAAGAAATGGCAAAACGTTGGGCCTACAGAGAGAATACAGTAGTGTCCTGGGCTGAACAGCCTTCAGCATACTGACCTGGGTTACGGCACACACACCTGGTATTCTCCATGACACTGCTTCAAACTCTTCCGTTATCTTGAGATGATTTCGGGGCTTTAGTGTCCCCGCGGCCCGGTCCTCGACCAGGCCTCCACCCCCAGGAAGCAGCCCGTGACAGTTGACTAACACCCAGGTACCTATTCCACTGCTAGGTAACAGGGGCATAGGGTGAAAGAAACTCTGCCCATTGTTTCTCGCCGGCGCCTGGGATCGAACCCAGGACCACAGGATCACAAGTCCAGCGTGCTGTCCGCTCGGCCGACCGGCTCCGTGCTCAATCATTTTTCTCAATTTATCCTTCTTATGAAACTATTCCATGCTGTTAAATCTGAGTGACTTCTGGTCACAGTTGCCTCGATCAGCCACTATTTCGATGTTATTTATCTCCACTAAATCAAAAATATTACTTTCCCTTTGTTGGCTCTTTATTTTTTTTTTTTTTGAGATATATACAAGAGTTGTTACATTCTTGTACAGCCACTAGTACGCGTAGCGTTTCGGGCAAGTCCTTAATCCTATGGTCCCTGGAATACGAGCCCCTGCCGCGAAGAATCGTTTTTTCATCCAAGTACACATTTTACTGTTGCGTTAAACAGAGGCTACAGTTAAGGAATTGCGCCCAGTAAATCCTCCCCGGCCAGGATACGAACCCATGACATAGCGCTCGCGGAACGCCAGGCGAGTGTCTTACCACTACACCACGGAGGCTGCGTTATTGTGTTGTTTGTCGAGATAATAACCAACTAATTGTTAAAAAATCTTCTTTCTCAATATTCCCTCTTTTGTTAGTCAAACGTTATTTCTGTTAAAGATACCCGCGCAGGACTCGTAATTCTGCGGCGCGGGTTCGATTCCCGCACGAGGCAGAAACAAATGGGCCAAGTTTCTTTCACCCTATGCCCCTGTTACCTAGCAGTAAATAGGTACCTGGGTGTTAGTCAGCTGTCACGGGCTGCTTCCTGGGGGTGGAGGCCTGGTCGAGGACCGGGCCGCGGGGACACTAAAGCCCCGAAATCATCTCAAGATAACCTCAAGAAGATACCCAAGTTATTTCTGATAGGTATCTCTTAAGTAAAGCCAATATCGTACCAATTGTAATCCACACTTCTGTAGAAATAAGCCTAGGTACTTGGAATCAGTATTGTACATTTTCCTAGTAATTGGATTAAGTAATACAACTCAGTATTTGTTAATTTTATTGATGAGAAATGCATTGCCTAATTCTATAGTAATGTTTCATTATTTCAAAAGAACAGGTCATTAAATTATCATATATCATAAGAAAGCATATTAGGTTAAACAAAATTATAATTTTGTATTCTTTTATAATTAAAAGATTAAAAGACATTAAAAGATTAGTTTTAATTAATTTCCCACTATTGATTGGAACGATTTCAAAGTTTTGAAACCGCGACCTAACCTAACCTAACCTAACCTAACCTAACCTAACCTAACCTAACCTAACCTCAAATCCTCTGTAAACTCTACCATGCAAAACACACAGAAATAACAATAGCACTGAACAAATCCACAAGAGCCGTGACGAGGATTCGAACCTACGTCCGAGAGCATTCTTCAGAGAGCATCCCAGACGCTGCCTTAATCGACTGAGCTACGACATGGAAAAGGAGTTGAAACCGAAGTTCTATTGAACTTACTGGATCCTGCAGCCTCTCCGAGGCACAAACCAGGCTTTTACACAACTACCCCCATTTACTCGAGCTATGTCAATAGGCTGTTCTCCGTCTTCGCCCTTACTTCATTACACACGCGCATCATTTGATGCATCACGCAATTGTGATTTCTGTGTGTAATGAAGTAAGGGCAAAGAGGGAGAACAGCCTATTGACATAGCTCGAGTGCAGGGGGGAATTGTGTAAAACCCTGGTTTGTGTCTCGGAGAGGCTGCAGGATCCAGTAAGTTCAGTAGAACTTCGGTTTCAATTCCTTTTCCATGTCGTAGCTCAGTCGATTAAGGCAGCGTCTGTTATGCTCTCGGACGCAGGTTCGAATCCTTGTCACGGCTCTTGTGGATTTGTTCATTTGATGCATCACGCAATTGTGATTTCTGTGTGTTAGGATTGGATATAATCCAGTGCATGGCTTCGGATTCCATAATGATTGAGTTTACTTAAGACGTAGTTGTGATTAACAGCATCAAAGGCCTTTCTCAAGTCAATGAAGAGTCCAATCGGAAACTCATTTTTGTCAAGGGCTGAGTAAATTATGTCAAAGAGACTAATAATTGCATCGTTAGTACTCTTTTGGGAGCGGAAGCCAAACTGACAGGGGCTAAGAATGTCGAATTTTACGAGATAGGAGTAGAGCTGTTTGTAGATAATTTTTTCAAATATTTTTGATAGTGTGGTTAGGTTCGATATTGCTCTATAATTGTTTATGTCTGCCGGATTACCTCCTTTATGAACTGGCATTACTCTTAATTTTTTAAGGATATTAGAGATAAATTTGACATTTATGTATCAGCCAATACTCTTGAAGTGTTTACTGACCACATGGAAAAAATTCTGACCACATGGATTGGAATTCTATTGCTAGCAAGAAGAATTCCAATCAGAGGATATTAAGGTGGTCTTTACTGCTGCAAGAGTACAATCTGGGCAGCAAACATATTCCAGGAAAATTAAATATAGAAGCAGATGCACTTTCCAGATTGCCAAAACCTGGGGTGACTTAGGGTTGTACTATTGCACAGAGATGTATATATTATTGTATATCTAATGTTTAATATATATCATTGTTTGTTTAAAATTATTATGAAATCTATCTGAGGTGTTAATTTTATGTGAAAAAAATGTGAAATGCTTTTATGAATTTCTCATTTTTTTTCTTCATGGCTTAGGAGGGGTGTTACGAACTTTACCTCCTGTGGAGGTTAGTTTCAAGTATAAAATGTTAGTGGACACAGTTGAAAATGTTTGATAGGAAAATATCCTATCTGATAGGCTGATAACAGTAATACTCCGCCCAGCAAAGTAGTATCTTCTCAGCTGGAGATTATTAGGAATCATGTGAACTGGAATAGCCTAACTATGTGAGGGAAAAATGGACACAATCTAAAAGCATGCATAGGGAATATGGTAAATAAAGTCAATAAAGAATTATCTCTTAGGTAAAGCCAATATCGTACCAATTGTAAGCCTCACCTCTGTGGAAATAAGCCTAGGTGGATGGAATCAATATTGTACATTTTTCTAGTGTTATGATTCCAGGCAGCCGAAAAACGAGTCTCCCTTTGCCTGACCTGACTAGAAGGTCTAGGAAATATAGAGGTGAAGATACAGATGTAAAATAATTGGTTGGATTTGATAGACAATTTAAGATAATGGGCAGTGAATAAGAAAATATGTAAATGACTTGACACAAGATGTGGAGAGTTTGGTGGAGGCATGAGGCTCGCTTGAGAGGAGCTTGAGCCACTTGAGCTGAAGAAATCGCGAGGGGGAAGGTGCACTCCGTGTTTGATCCTTTTAAAGAGGATACCCCTAGTTTATATACCCTCAAGAGGAAGGCAGTGGACAGACGTCTCGACTGAGGAATAAGTTAGGAGGCGTGCCAGCTCAAGTCAGGAACTGCAGAAGGTGTTGAGGGGACAGTTAAGGCAGTTCTGTGGGTAGCCTGAGGTATCCACAGTGTCGCCTCCCCCAGAGAGCGCCCTGCTTGAGACCTTATTGTGGTAGTCCCAAATTTAGCCAGATTACAGTGATTGCCGATAACTTATCGTGTGCCCAGCGATCATAGCGAATGTTTATTGATACGTTAGACATGTTTTGGTAAGGCTTGAAGCGTAAAAGCCCAGGTCGAGAAAGAAAAAGCCCAGGTCGAGAAAGAAAAAGAGAGAGCAAAACAAATGCAGATAGAAGCAAATATGACTCTGGCTGAACAAAGGATTGAACATGGGTTGCCAGAGAGCACCACCCAGGTATCACACTCGCCAGATGTTAGGGTTAGGGAGAAGGACATTCTCTTGTTTGTTCCCGAAGAGGCAGAGAGCTTTTTTGAGCACTTTGAAAAGGTAGCCAGCATCAAGGAGTGGCCACAGGAGGAATGGGGCCCAGCTGGTCCAGTTAAAATTGACGGTGTAGCCAGGAAGGCATACACCCAATTGTCACTCGAAAAGTGCCAGGATTACGCCACAGTAAAGAGCAGCATACTGCGCTCGTTTCAGCTAACCCCAGAAGCTTATAGGAAGCGCTTTAGAGAGATGGTGAATGTTGGAGCATGTACTTTTGCTGAGACAGCAAGGGATCTGGAAAGACGATTCCAGAAATGGATTGAGGCTGCCGGAGTTAGATCTTACGCTGACCTGAAGCAATTGATGGTCATGGAAAAGTTCTTAGAAATGATGCATCCCGAAACAAAGTTCAAGATCCAAGAAGCAGGGATAAAGGAGGTGAAAGATGACACATATAGAGCAGATATGATTACTGAAGCATACAAGAGCTTGAGGGAGAACAGAGTGAGAAGCGAGGCGAGTGTTACGGACCCGAGCCCAGCGTCGTAGCACGGAGCGGTGACGACAACGCCATCTGTGAGTCAGCTCCCGAAACCCCCTCCAAATGGACGAAGCCATCTAGTGAGGACGGGATATACCGGCCACAGGGGCTGGATTCCCGTCTTAATCAGCTAGTAGCGTAGCCCTCAGGTGAGGTGGCGCTTACACAGCAACACCATCTATGGAGTGGATAGGTGGACGTTTGTGTCTAAGCCTGTGAGTGAGGTGCCCTAGAGTGTAACCAGTACTAATGACGTGTCTGATTACAGAGTCGACCTGGGACTGCTGTATCGGACGATGGGGCACAGGAGACACTGGGACACAGGAGACACTGGGACACAGGAGACACTGGGAGACACAGGAAAGGCAATGGGGCACAGGAGGGGACACAGGAGACACTGGCGGCAAAGTGACACTGTTGGCACAGGAGACACTAGGGCACAGGAGACACTGGACACAGGGCAACAGTGACACTGGCAGGGCACTGGGGCAAGAGACACTGGGGCACAGGAGAGACACTGGGGCACAGGAGACACTGGGGCACAGGAGACACTGGGCGGCTGGGGCACAGGAGACACTGGGGCACAGGAGACACTGGGGCACAGGAGACACTGGCGGCAGCAAGT